GATGTGGTGTTGTGGTAGGCTAAATCCATTTTACTGTATTTATACTGGACTACGTTTTCCGCCTTACGACGTGAAAAATGGTCCCACACCTTTGACATTTTCTGTCTTTTTCTCACTCCACCGGGGTACAAGTTGTCCGCCATGGCTTAAGAGAAAGTTAAGTTATATTCGCTACTCGCGTGTGCATTCAGTCCAGTGGGCATGTGCGTCACTTATTTCGGTCCGGGTGAAACCTGACCCCGTGCGTTTGCAAAGCCATGAATTAATTAAATATGAATTAAACGAATCCTCGAGGCAGAGAATTTGACTCGAGGATTTTTTGTACTCGAATTATTCGAGGTACTCGAGGAATCGTTTCAGCTCTACTGCACACTCAGTTGGCCCCTGATTGCTGTGAGATCAGGTTGGGGGGGGGGGGGGGGTGCAGCACACCTCCGATCGCTGACTGACAATTTTTACATTAACTGATGAGGCTTGTAAATAAATAACTTAGAAATAGATATAAAAAAAAGTTCCTCACGCTGATAAATAATAATTCATCTCTCTGAGTGACACCCTGCTGCTGCTGTACACTTCCCTACAGCACTGCTGGAGAGGACTAAATAATTATTATGCAACATTTTGTGAATGTCACTAAAACATATATGTTTATATTATATTATAAATGCACTGTATAATTCTTGCTGTCAGTATTTGCAAGATATTGGCTAGATGTTTGGGTCTGTATTGGGTAGGCTTAAATAAGCTAAACTTCAGCCTAAACCCTTTGGGTCACAAACTATGAGCAAGTGTATTGGCCTCTTTATACTAGGAATCATAAGTTGTTTTTTGTGATTATCTTGTTTCCTTTTCTTATTTGTTTTTGTCCAGATTGTGCTCTGTGCAATTTTATGACCGAATAAATAAAATCAACAATAATCTAAAAAGCGTTTAAAATAATCAAGATCTCAATTTCGGTCAAAGTAATCATGATGATCATTTTTGCCATAATCGAGCACCCCTACTGTGAATTAGTGTTCATGGACTCACCGACCTTTACTCATGACAAGGAAGGGTGCTGTTGATTTACTGGCTGGTAATCAGCGATGGACGTCTGATAGTTTAAGCTAACTGTTAGCATTAGCAACACCACTACCACCACCAGGTCTTCCAGGTTTGTGTTATTGTGAACATCCACGTTGGTAGAGTCACTTTGTTGTTATCCAATCTGAGCATGATGTCCAAATATCAGAAAATAAGACTGCAAATCCTGCCATCGGAAGCTCAGCTGTGATGTGGGTAAATCTGAGAAATGATGCACCAGTATTTTTGTTCCCCCCTGAGAACAACTTACAAGGCATTAATTCCTACTAGAGACCACTGCAAATGTATTGATTAAACGAGTCACCCACTTCTTTAAGTAAAATTATTAAACCTTTTGATTTGAACAGTTGAATAAAAACACGAGCAGAAATGCTATGTGATGCTAGCTTTACAAGATGCTATTTATGCAACCTGAGTCAGATTACAAGTATGTTGTTTTATAGAAAAATCTAAATTGCTTTTTGTGGCATTTCTTCTGTAAGACAAACATTTGCATGCAGTGACAGGAAGAAATGATAACTATAGATAAAAGTAAAATCCTTTTGAAGATAATAACTTCCCTCATTACTGCAGGAATAATGTTTTGAGCCAGAATCTAAAAAGCATTTCTGTTATCACATTTCCTTCTCGGCAAGCTCAGACAAGTAGATAATTTCAACTGCTGCCACCCACCTCTGTTACGTGGATGGTATAGATGCAGGATTTTAAAATCTGTTTTGGTGCCAGACTTGATGCTGTTTGCCCCTAAATAGAAGATTCCACTGATTTGACAGTGCAGTTCAGTCAGCTCTTTCAGAAGAAGTTGCTCTTTGACAAAAGACTTTCATCTGCATCAGCGCTTAAAGGCATGGCTTTGTTTGAATATGTGAAGTGTTCCTTGGTGTTCTATTTACCTTTTAAAAGACTCGAGCAAAGATTCACAAAGTCATTCAGCTACATCCACCAATTGCACACCGGCTCTCACTGGGTTACTGGAGGACAGGATGGGAGTGTTATCACAATCCAAGCAAAGATAAAGGATTTATAATGTGGTTTCTGGTAAAGACTAACTCTAAATAGATTAAAAGCACTCACTAAAGATAGTAAAATCTGTTACTGCTGCTACAGTTTTATTTAGATTTCTAGGCTAGCAGCTAAAATAAGTGTAAAAAAGGGATTTTGTCTACACATTTTACATACCCCTTATGTTACGTGTGACCCTGCCCACAGGCCCGACTGGAGGGTGTTTGGTTTGCTCTCCCTCATACCCATATTCAACTCTGCAGGTGGGCCATGTTGCCTGGAGACCACGTTGACCTGCAGTCAAACCAGCAGAGCTAATTTTCAGGACTGGAGACTAACTGTAAATGCATCTACTTATAAGTTTTCTTTGATTTAGAAGCATTTGCTTTGCATTTGTGTGACTTGTGCACAGCTACATTGACGAGGAGAAGGATGGTCCCATCCAGGGCGCCTTCATCTTTTCTTTTCTTTTCCTGCAGGATAGCAGATGGGACTGCAGAGTCCTCACAACAATTAAGATGTCTAACGCATAGGTCAGCACTCTCCTGCAAGTCCTCCCCTCCCCTCCTGATTTAGCTGCACTGTGGGATGGTGGAGTGTGGAGGAATGCCAGGTCTGCTTGGAATGCTGTTGCTTTTTGTTCCTCAAGAGTGATAAGCTCCCGGTTGCTTGCCACACAGCCTTAGTCACTCCCAAACTTGCCTGCCTTTGTTCCACACAGGTCTATGCGTTGGTTTCATAAATTAGTCAGTAAAAATTTGAAAAACCAATTGAAAGGCGACATATTATGCAAAACTCACCTTTTGCATTTTTTTGTGCTGCCACGTGGCTCTCTTCTGCCTTTATAAAGACTGCAAACATGAAAAAAAATCTTTTAAAACCGGATTTGGGTAAAAAAAATAGCTGCCACGTTTCAAAGGTATTGCAAGTTTCCTTTATCTGTTGCTCTATGCTGAGCTTGTTACATCAAACATTGCTTAAAGCAACCGAGACGTGGCTAAAATGTAACTACAACTCCAAATCAGGCCTGTTTACACATGACAAAGTGGAGCCTGTAGTCACTATGTGAGAACTGTAGTGTAAAGAGTTTTTTGTGTGTTTGTGTGCACACCGTCCTCTCGTATTATCAGGGTTTTAGGAGGAAGTCAAACTGCTATGCTAGTAGTATGCTACGTTGCTATGCTGAAGGCGAGATCAGACTTTGGCAGTGCATAGTTGTCAGTCTTTTCCTCCCCCCTCCAAGGCAGTGATTAACACTAGCAGGAAAGAGGAAGAGGGTGAGAAAATAGTGGGATGGGAGGCGAGCTTTAGACTGACTCTTAACGTCAGAGTATTATTGCTCAGAGTGCTTTATTCATTCTATGTGTGATTTTTTCCCCACCCAGGCAGCTTTATTAACTGCTGTGTGGAAGCTGCATTACGACTCTTCAATTTAGATGCTCAATATTAATGTGAAATTGGATCATCTGCTAATAAATTACAGTCGAGTGTGTATTTATGTGCTTGCTAGGAACAACCATACCATGACCTCATACACTTATTATGTCCTTCTACACCAGATGTCCTTCATCCAGAGTTGTTTAACTCTAAGCATTAGGATTTTATCCTCCTGCCGTAAAGCTCTCAGGTTGATGAAATTTGAGTCCATCTTTAACGATGGCCGTAAAAACAGTACAACACCTTTCTCCTTGTGTTTCCTCTTTTTATTCATCTTATTTGCTTTGCTCGTGTCTTTTTTTTTTACTTTGTCTCCTTACTTTTTTCTGATATCACATGCTTTGCCTCCTGAACCCTGACCTTGGTCTCCTGCAGTACGCTCCATCTCCTGTCCTCTCTTCAGGTTGTGAACGGACCGAAAGAAAAGATCTGCTGTCAGGCTGCATCCATCATTCTCGCGTCATTTAAAAAAAAAAGGGGATAGGTGATTTCCTCTTCAGAGATTGATGGTTTACAATCCTCTTTCAATTTTAGGGTTGAAAGAAGAGGTGATTTATTTAAATCTGTAGCTCTGTGCACAACTGACAACTAAAATGAGCCAATCAGAATACTCTGATCAGACTGAAAGAAGGTAGGAAGAAGATGTGCAGCTAAGGCCTAAAAGCATTAGTGTCACTCCTCTTTGTATCCTAAATAATAAGATGGATACACACACACACGGATACACACGCACACACACACACACACACACACACACACACACACACACACACACACGCACGTTGCTGTTGGTGCCAGGCCAAGTTCAAATAAGCCTAATAATTCAAATGGGCTAAAAATAATAGCATCAGCTTTGCTCTTTTTTTCTTCTTCCCTCACACCTGCAATCATACTGTACGAATGAATGAACACAACTGTGACAAAGTGCAAGACAGTGACTCGCTTACTGCTGGATTTGTCCTCAAGTACATCAGCTAGAAGGAGACGTGATGAAACGGCTCATTAAATGCTTTGAAGCCAATTTGTGCTGTTCATTCGATTAGAAACCTGTTAAAAAATGTCAGGCATCTGTGAATTTTGTCCCCCAGTTGTTTCCTATTTTTATGTTTATTGTTGTTCAAAAAGTAATAAATTATTAGAGGTCATCCTATTTAACATTTGAAAGATTTTAATAGTTCTTTTTTTTAAATTGGTTTCTGATATTTACACTGAACAGTTCTCCATGAACTCTGGTGGAGATAAATGTTAATGAAGGTGATTGACTCCAATAATGATCTAATTTGCATGTTAAATATCCATAAAATGCTCCTTGTCTTTATTGTACACCGTGAGTCATAAAGGGGGTTTAATGCAGGTTTGTTCCAACAGCCACAAGAATGCGTGACTAAGTTTTGCTGGTATTATTACCTGTGTCAGTTGCTGTTTTTCTGTTAGTGGGTTTAATGTTCTGGCTGATGCATTTTGCCCCTTTTCTGCAGGGACATCATGATCACTCATTTTGAACCGTCCATCTCGTATGAAGACCTTCACGGGGAGGTGAAAGACATGTGCGCCATGGACAACGACCAGCTCTTCACCATGAAGTGGATCGATGAGGAAGGTAAGCACTACTGTCAATGTTTAAATTGGAATTCATCTCAGAGTCAAAGTGCATGTAGAAACCAAATTTAAGGTGTAAGTTTTGCTCGTAAGGATTGATAAAAAAATAACACTGACATCTTTGCTTAGTCTCCTGTCAAGTTCTGTGTCACTCAACTTGTCGGGCAGCAGTAATCCTGTCGCAGACAAGATTGAGCTATCAGATTGTTCATCCCGGGAGAAGGTCAGCCTACCAAAACTCATTAGGCTCAGGCAAACTCACTTGTCATCACCTGCAGACTATGACTAGTCTTTAGTGTGTGTCCGTAGCTGTTTGTCCTACTGCCCCATTAAAAACACACTTTACACAGCCTGACACAATTTATGTTCACAAACTATTCCTGAAGAGAAGCCTCAGTTATGCCTTCATAAAATAAGCAGAAAGTATTGTTAATTGTGCCTTTTATGGTAAGAATGGTCAAATTATTATTCTGTACCACCATTTCAATTATGGCTAACTCACAGCCTAACAACACATTTTCAAGTTTCAGCTCATCATCTTTTGTACAGATCTTGTATGTTTTTGTTTCTAAAGAGATGGTTTGATTGCACTGTTCAGTAATCTGTTTCAGTAAAAGGCAAATGTGTGATCTACTTTGGCCGTATCTTCCACCTCTGTGTTGTGAACTCGTAAACATGACAGCTGTTCCTGAAACCAAACGTTTACCGCGGTGATTGTCACAAACCTCCATCTAGTTCAACCTTAATCATTTCCATTAACAGTATGTGTCATAGTTTCTGTTCCTGTGCTAATTACAGTGGGGCAAAAAAGTATTTAGTCAGCCACCGATTGTGCAAGTTCTCCCACTTAAAATGATGACAGAGGTCAGTAACTTACATCATAGGTACACTTCAACTGTGAGAGACAGAATGTGAAAAAAAGTCCATGAATTCACATGGCAGGATTTTTAAAGAATTTATTTGTAAATCAGGGTGGAAAATAAGTATTTGGTCAATAACAAAAATTCAACTCAATACTTTGTAACATAACCTTTGTTGGCAATAACAGAGGTCAAACGATTACTATAGGTCTTTACCAGGTTTGCACACACAGTAGCTGGTATTTTAACCCATTCCTCCATGCAGATCTTCTCGAGAGCAGTGATGTTTTGGGGCTGTCGCCGAGCAACATGGACTTTCAACTCCCTCCACAGATTTTCTATGGGGTTGAGGTCTGGAGACTGGCTAAGCCACTCCAGGACTTTCAAATGCTTCTTACGGAGCCACTCCTTTGTTGCCCGGGCGGTGTGTTTGGGATCTTTGTCGTGTTGGAAGACCCAGCCACGTTTCATCTTCAAAGCTCTCACTGATGGAAGGAGGTTTTGGCTCAAAATCTCACGATACATGGACTCATTAATTCTATCCTTAACACGGATCAGTCGTCCTGTCCCCTTAGCAGAAAAGCAGCCCCAAAGCATGATGTTCCCACCCCCATGCTTCACAGTAGGTATGGTGTTCTTGGGATGCAACTCTGTATTCTTCTTCCTCCAAACACGACGAGTTGAGTTTATACCAAAAAGTTCTACTTTGGTTTCATCTGACCACATGACATTCTCCCAATCCTCTGCTGTATCATCCATGTGCTCTCTGGCAAACTTCAGACGGGCCTGGACATGCACTGGCTTCAGCAGCGGAACACGTCTGGCACTGCAGGATTTGATTCCCTGCCATTGTAGTGTGTTACTGATGGTGACCTTTGTTACTGTGGTCCCAGCTCTCTGCAGGTCATTCACTAGGTCCCCCCGTGTGGTTCTGGGATTCTTCGTCACCGTTCTCATGATCATTTTGACTCCACGGGATGAGATCTTGCGTGGAGCCCCAGATCGAGGGAGATTATCAGTGGTCTTGTATGTCTTCCATTTTCTGATAATTGCTCCCACAGTTGATTTTTTCACACCAAGCTGCTTGCCTATTGTAGATCCACTCTTCCCAGTCTGGTGCAGGTCTACAATTATTTTCCTGGTGTCCTTCGAAAGATCTTTTGTCTTGGCCATAGTGGAGTTTGGAGTAGGGCTGCAACAACGAATCGATAAATTCGATGAAAATCGATTACTAAAAGCGTTGGCAACGAATTGCGTCATCGATTCGTTGTGTTGTGCAACTCTTCCAAAAGCCCCCTCCCCTCCTGCCCGCCGTTGCGCGCAGACCGGTGGAGAGCCGGCAGGTGTTTGTAAGAGGAACATGGCAGAAGCAGCGAGACCCCAAAAAAGTAAAAACTTCTAAAGTTTGGGAGCATTTTCAGTTAAATCAGGTGAAGACATGCAACGTTTGTAGGTCAGACTTAGTATGGCACGGGAGTACTACGGTGATGATGCAGCGTCTTAAACACAAGCATGTCAGAATCATCAGCGAGGAGGGAGAGAGCTCTGTGTCCGGGTAAGTTAAAAACTTTTCAAAAGTGATTCACCCAACCCCCGGATTATTACACACGCTAGACATGCCCTAAGCTCATTAAAAAAAAGTCTATAAAATTGTAAGCGCGACGCTATTAGATAGGCGTGGGGTGGGGGTGGGGGGACTTGCGCTGCTGCAAACCGGTTCCGCCGTCACATTCCCGCAGAAACTGGTTGATCACACCGGGGCCAGACCACTAACATGTGGCTTTACAACCACAATGTCCTCAGAAGCGAAAACGCTTTTAAAAGGGAGGGAGGAGTCCTAACTGTTGCTGCAGGCGTGTTGTGTGTGAGTGCAGTTATATACTGGTTAATATATTTTTGGGTTCAGTTGCTTTCATGTGGCCTAATGTGAGTCTATTTGGGATCATTGGAATGATCAGCAGCATTTCTTGATGTGACTTTATGGCAGTTGCCCAGGGCATCATCGCAAGGAGGATGGCATTCATTTACTTTTGTTTTATTTGGTATTTTTCAGTCATTTTTGGAAATAGTGATTAATTTTGATTAATTCACAGCCTATGTTTAATTACATTTAAAAATTAGTTGTTTGACATCCCCAATTATAATAAATGTCTACAGATGAGATCAAACAAAACAGATGAGAATTGCCCTTAAAGAGCAAGTCACCCCCAAATAAACTTTTTTTTGCTGATAAACTAAATAAACGAGTGTCTAATCGTGCTGCAGACACGTGTCGTCAATAATTTGGCACTTCAGTGCATCTTAGTTAAAATTTAAATATTCTGCCTAAAACTGGCAGTGTTGTGCCGTTGTCAGGTAAAAACTCTGCACTGTATTTTAATTTAAATCTGCCACCGCTATTGGCTAAGAAGTATGCTATGATGTAAACTGGTACATTATGATGTCACAATGCTGTCGTGAGCCTGAGTGTGTGTGTATTTGTTAGCGGCTCCGCCCTCTCGGTCTGCCAGGCAACAGCATGTGTTGCATTTTTCAAACATGAAGCGGGAGTGGAGTTAGACTCTGGTAGGGGTTGACTTGCTCTTTAAGCTGTTTAACTTGGACCAAGCATTTTAGGTCACAGATAGGTGTAGCTTAGGGTCTCTGTCTATACACCTTATAAGACAATTTAGGTGATGGCATGTTGTTTTTCTGCTATTGAACTGTTTTCTAATAATGTTGTGTTTAATAAAGTGAAGGAAGGAGAAAAATAACGTTTCCCTAGCAGTTTTAAAAAATGTCCCTATGTAATCCGATTAATCGATTAATCGTGTCGAGACCCCATCCGATTAATCGATTATCCAAATAATCGTTTGTTGCAGCCCTAGTTTGGAGTCTGACTGTTTGAGGCTGTGGACAGGTGTCTTTTATACAGATAATGTGTTCAAACAGGTGCCATTAATACAGGTAACGAGTGGAGGACAGAAAAGCTTCTTAAAAAAGACGTTACAGGTCTGTGAGAGCCAGAGATTTTCCTTGTTTGAAGTGACCAAATACTTATTTTCCACCCTGATTTACAAATAAATTCTTTAAAAATCCTGCCATGTGAATTCATGGATTTTTTTTCACATTCTGTCTCTCACAGTTGAAGTGTACCTATGATGAAAATTACTGACCTCTGTCATCATTTTAAGTGGGAAAACTTGCACAATCGGTGGCTGACTAAATACTTTTTTGCCCCACTGTATACCCAGACTGTTGTTGTGGTTGGTAGAGCGGCTACAATCAGTGAGTCTCGACTGGCACTCGACTTTTCTTATTAATAATCTGCATCTGTGTGTTTTAAACAATTTCTACCAAGCTGTCCCGAACATTTAAACAGAAATTTTAATGATTGCATCATGTACTGTAGTCTCCTACATGTTCTGCTTAACACTTATTTCACTGTTTACTCACAAAATCATTCATCACATTTCAATTGTACTTTTTCATAAACTTGGAATTATTTATTCAGGTTCTTGTTGTATCTCATCATTTATTCAGACAGTTTTTAAAATGCTGAATATTTCCAGAAACTTTAATCTGTCACGTTTTGTTTAGATTTAACCTGCTCGCTGTTTATTTTTAAATCTCACTTTGCAATGGTGACCAGTTTTCATTTGCATGGCTATGAATGGGATTTTTACCAGGATTCATAAAGTTATTGGAAAAAGATATCCAACGTTGTTTATTAACAAAGCTGCAAGCTGTGTAAACCCAGACCAGGTCCCACAGCATCAGAACCTTCCACCTTCACTTGGTTTCTCACGTGGCGTTCTTGATCCACGCTCCCGTGTTTTATAACGTCTCCTCTGCCTCCAGGTGACCCTTGCACTGTATCGTCTCAACTGGAACTAGAGGAAGCTCTGAGGCTCTATGAACTCAACAAAGACTCAGAACTTATTATACACGGTGAGATCTTAAACACACAAATTAGGAATAAATGTCATTTGGAATAGAAAATCTTCATCACCTTTAAATGAGCGGGCCAGGTCTTTAATTGTAGCGGGTGAGCTTTCCCAACCTACATATCTTTTTTGGCATAGGCAAAATTAGGTGAATTAGTAGTCAATGTTCTCTCAAAATAAAGGATTTTTTTATTATGTAGGGCACCAGCAACAGCATTTATCATGTTTCTGTCTATCCATAAATGTCTGGTTTTCTCTTTTTTTAACATCATAATAATGATTGGGGTTTCTGATGAGAAATCTTCTTATCAGCAGTCATCGGAAAAATTTCTAACCGAGCTATAACTGTCATTTTCACTGAGAGTAAAGTTTGGGGGTTTCCAATCCTTCGATCACCATACTCTGCTTGTTGACGGCTCACAGGGGTAGAGAGGGAAGAGTTGCTCTCTACACTACATGGAACCTGAAAAATCCCTGCAGTCACCCTCTGATGTGTCATTAAAAACACTTAAAACTGAATGATTGTGCACGCTTGTGCAGCAGATATGTCTTTTTGATTTGCAGTTCACTAACTTTCCTGTGTGAGCCGAGCTTTGTTGACAAAAATAGTTGTGCAGCTTGTTGGAGATGTGTCGTGACAGTTTAAGGGTTGTACGTGTGGTGTTGTTTGTATCCTTTGATTGACAGCTTGTCTGTGTGTGTGGTTGCAACCTGGGGATAGCAGTGACAGGGACTGTGGTTAATGTAACATTCTAATCAAATCGGAGGCGACAGGTTTAGAGTGCAGCGGGTGGCGTTGTGATGGGGGAGGATGAATCGAGGGTGGGGGCGTTGAGAAGATGTGAGCAAGATGTAGGGGGTCACCAGGTCTGCTTGGTAATGAGGTTGTCTGCTGCAGCCCACGCCTTGCCTCTGACTCACACGGCTCCAGGTCTGGGGATCTGTGTCTCCTCATCATCCTCTACTATCAGGTTGTTTATATTTCTCATTTCCTGTAAGTGCCGAACAAAAACAAGCTTGTAGTGAAATCCCATTGTGATTCGCACCGCGCAATAGCGTTTTTGCCACAGGTGATAAATGTTAAACTGTATAGACTTTTATAGCTCAGTTTAGACATAGAGGCTCTCCAGAGCACTTTACATTTGTATTTATTCACCTGTTCACTCACTCATTGAAAAGTCAACAGCACTTGAGCAGGCAGGACAACAGGAAATAGACCCGGTAGCCTAAAAATACCTTTGTGTGTCTGCTGTTAGTCTAACCCGCCTCAAACAGTCAATTAAAAGCTTTCTAAAGACCATTTTCTGTCTGATTTTGTTCCAGTGTTTCCATGTGTACCTGAGAAACCTGGCATGCCGTGTCCAGGAGAAGACAGTGAGTCCAACCCTTTTCTAATTTACAATCATTTGTAAGACCCGAGGAAGGGTAGTAGAAAGTTATGATCTGTTTTCAGCTGCATTAACCCCCCTGCTCTGCAGGGTTGTAAATTATATTTGAGTAACATTAATTCTGAAAAAGGACGAGGGAAAATAAAATTGGTGAGGTCCTTGGAAGTCTGCTTTCACCTCTTAAATTTATTCTAGATTTGATCAGTTGATCAGGAGAGGCTGAACAACATCCATCTGCTAATTGAAAGATGTGTTTCATTGATAGCTTATTAGATGGTGATGTAGTCTGAACAGTATGCCTGATCAATAACATTTAGAGGTCTTTAACTTCTTAGAGATCAGTCTGCTAATTTGATTAATTTACAAATTGTTTAGCCCACTCGATAATTGAACTATACTGGCCAAAATTAAAAATGCAATAGGTGATGATTAGTCTGTGTGCATGCTTTTCAAATGTAAATCCACAGCTTTTATTATTATTTCTGAGCATAATTTACAGGTCCGATGTCGCAGTACATAAATCCTTTTGGATTTTTTTATAATAGAAACAGTCAGACAAGGTGTGCATGTTTTATTCGCATCCGATGACACTCCAGCAAAAAAATGAGCTTCCTGTTGAATAAAATGCTGGAGATTTTAGCATACATTCTGAATAAATAAAAAAGCAGATGCACAAATTGACAGGATTGGTTTTCTTCTCTCCACAGAGTCGATATATCGTCGTGGCGCCCGGCGATGGAGGAAGCTTTATTATGCGAGCGGTCACGCTTTTCAGGCCAAACGCTTTAACAGGGTGAGATTTGATTCTGAATGTTGTCTCAAAGGTGGACCTGAAGCATATTTCTTGATTATTTTCTCACTTCATAAACAAAGTGTGCAACAGTTTTTCATAAATAGTTATTCATTTGTAGAAATGTGATGTGTAAAACTCAAGAAACTCTTTGTGTCCAATAGAAGCAGAATCTGAAAAAGCTTTCATGGTGTTTGATTTCATATCAGCTAGTTGGTGTGTTCCTGAAACGTGTTTTTATGGAATATAAAGTGGGTGTGTTTTTCATAATCAGCTGATTTCTGTGCACCTTTCTATGCAGCGGGCCCACTGTGCCATCTGTGCAGATCGAATCTGGGGTCTGGGAAGACAAGGCTACAAATGCATCAACTGCAAGCTGCTGGTGCACAAGAAGTGTCATAAACTGGTCACAGTGGAGTGTGGCAGACAGATGATCCAGGTGAGATGTGTGAGGCATGAAGGTGGTGTAAAGAATTCCTCAGTCAGATCTACTGCACACTTTATTTATACACACTCGTAATTAATGATGAATGTTGTCCAGGAACCAATAATGCCCGGCCCACCACAAAGTCACTTAGACCCAGCTGAACACCAAGGTAACACACACACACACACACACACACACACACACACACACACACACACACACACACACACACACACACACACCTACTAACTTGCGAGTTTTAGTTATTGCTTGCATCGTAGAAAATATATATTTTTTTTTTCAATATTTGAAGCACATCAGAGCCTCAAAAGCGTCCTTATTTTAATCTCTTTTCTATGAAACTATGATCCTCTGAGACTCATTTGTACATCTAATGCCAAAATAACAATTCTCCTTGTAAATCTTTAAAAGCTGATTACAAACAGAGAGTTACGTGTCTAAGTGTTGCGTCTCCCCTCATTTAGTCATATTTAGGGAAGCTCCGATCCGATCATGTGATCGGAAATCAGGCCCGATCACACGATTTTCAAAGGATTGGAATTGGGTGGAAAAGATCAGATTTAACCTAATAAGGCAAGAAACATGACTTTCAATTCATCCTGAGATAGAGGAACAACAATGGCTTAATTTTAATGTTTTTTGCAGATTAACTAAAGAAATTACATAATATAGAAAGAAAAAAATACATAAATGATAATTTTTTTTAAACAAAGGAAAACTTTGATGTTTTCCTTTTTTCTTGTTATTTTAAAGCTGCTTTCTGGAATTTTTCCCTTTCAGGAATTATGATTTTTCAGAAATCCATAAAAGTGACTGTCTTATTATGTACTCTGATATAATGTACAAAATACGTCTTTTTATTTATTGATTTTTTTTTTTCGTTCTAAGCTCACCCCCGTCTTATAGAGCTCAATGCAATATGAACTGAGTGGCGGTCAGCACTAACCAGTAGCATTTCCAGCTTTCCTACAGTTGTTAATCACAGAACGTGCTCTAGCATTTAAGGACGTACTTTGGTTGATGCAGGTGTGCGACCTTTCTCGGACAACTAAGTCTTTAAAATATAAATATATGAATACACAACATAACGTGTGCATAATAATTGTAAAACAATGTATTTTAGCTCTGTATTGTTGGCTAGAGGAGCGCGTACATGAACAAGAAGCGTTGCCTTCGGCCTTAAATACAGAAATGAGAGTAAGTCAAGACGTGACATGCTTGTCAGCCACTAGATGGTACCATCAGATTAAAGAAATAATCCAGACAACAACTTTTATACTTGGCTGAAATATCAGTTCAGGACCGATATCGGGAGATATTCAAAATCAAATGACTCTGACTCAGATCACGAATAAAAAAGTGTGATTGGAACATCCCTAGTCATATTTGCACTTTTGCTAATCTCCCACTTATTTCCTACCTAGTTCTTGTTTTTTATGCTAATTTCAGAATAACAGAACAGCAATGTGCTGCTTAAAGTTTCCTGGCTGCAGCCGGACTTTTAACCACCTCAGCCATTAGGTGGTTGGCTGTATTTACAGGTTTCTGTTTAACTCCAGACTTAAGTCCAATCAGGTGCTGGAGAGGGTGACTGAACTGTGAGAGCTTAAGATAAAGGTAGCTGAAACCCCTGCTGTGAAGCCTTGCAGGCTCCCAGGGTGTTGTGGAGTTCAGTAGTAAAACATTTTTGTCTTTCCCCTCCATTTGTGTCAAAAACAACAGAAAATTTGTTTTTCCCTCTACTAAACAGTGACAAGTTACTCTGGCTCTGCACTGATGTGTGAACAGAGTGTGTGACTGTCTCTCACCTATTTTCTCTCCTTCTTCTCTCATCTCTCCTATATTCTCCCTCCGGCCTCCCCCTCTCCTTATGCGTGTCTGTCACTATGTCTGTCACTTCCTCTGCTCTTATTTTCCTCTCCTTTCTCTGTCGCAGGCCCTCAGCATAAAGACTCCAAAGAAAGCTTGAATTACGACGGAGAGGAGAAAGAGGTGAGAGAAGCCTTTGCAGACGCTGATTTGTGGCTCATTGTCTGCCAACTTGTCAATGTGACGAGATGAGTATTTATTAAAACATCTTAAGAGACAAATAGTTTGCTCAAGAAGGGAAAAAAACAGATAATCTGTAATTAAGGGATAGTTGTTATCCATTTGGTCACGGCGTACATTTGGGTGATCCTTTTACCTGCTCCTGTGATGGAGAGCATGCAGACGTAGGCACCATAGCATTATGGTAGATATTGATTTCCTTTGGTCGAGCTAAGTAAGTAACCTTTTATCACAGCTTTTAGCTCTAGAAACTGATGAATGGTTTGGTATATAGTTTGGGGTTAAAGTGTAGTTTAGTTGAAGCAGGAGAAATGAAGATGGATGAAATTAAAGGTGAAAGAGTGGAATTCAAATAAGTCTTTGGCTCTTGGAGCTTAGACAGATGGAACTAGTTCTCTACAGAGATAATTACAAGACAGGAGAAAAGATGGGTGAGTAAATGGTGAAGGTGGGAGTCGTGTTTACAGAGAGGTAGGACTGTAATACATGTGCCAAACTTGATGAAAGCAGCATAATGGCTTTTATTAGACGCGTGGAAATCATTACAAAGATTTATTCTCAACAGGCTGCACAGGGAGGGCTTTCAATTTCATTTACAAAGCCACCCAAAGGAAATCATCCTCGCATCCAAACCCAATCATCAGCTCTGTCGATAGTTTACAGATGAAATTATATTGAGGAATGTTGTTGGGCTGAAATAATTGTTTACTGTTTGAGTGATATGTCATCACCAAATCTTCTTTTCCTTCATTAATTATCTGACCTCCCGCTCTCCAGGCGCGGAGCAGAGTCACGGGGAAATCGCCCGCCAGCCTGGGCCTCGCTGACTTCGATCTGCTGAGGGTTATCGGCAGAGGCAGCTACGCGAAAGTGCTGCTGGTGCAGCTGAAGAAGACGGAGCGCATCTACGCCATGAAGGTGGTCAAAAAGGAGCTAGTCAATGATGACGAGGTAATGATCTATCCCAGGGAGACGGATCGCACATGTAAAAGGGACTTATTTAACTTTTATAAAACATTAAACAGAAACAGATTGTTTACATTTTTAATTAATAGCCACTCTTTTGTTTTATTTTTTATGTATAATTTTCAAAATTGGCAGGCTGACTAGGAGCTGTGATTTCTAGCATAAACAATACCCATCCCATGTGATCGAACAATAATTTTGTGTTTTGTGTAACATTTTGTCAACATGACAGACCTCTTCAAAGCCATCGGTCTTTCTAAGCAGGTGTAGATAAACCATCAGAAATTGATCTCTGTCAACACATGTAGCAGCACAGCCAGCGGCAACAGGACTAGTTAGCTTTGATTAGGCACACTTAGCGTGATTGACAAATTGACAAGTGCCTCTCAATCAATGCTGAAGTGTCGGGCTGTCCCTGCCCAGTTGACGTGAGTGGCATCCGTGTCCAAACATATTATCGTCCAAGCATCGATAGCAGCCTCCTACTGCTTCTCCTAGCTCAGCCTTTTTCTCCTGCAGCTGGCTGCCTTCCACACAAGTGGACCCCAAGCTTTTTGGCACATGTGATGGAGCGTGCTGCTTATTCAGCTTTTATCAGTTCAAGGGCACTATGTCAGAACGTTTTCTGATTGACATTCGGGTGTGTCTGTGTGTGTTTCTCTTTCAGGACATCGATTGGGTCCAAACAGAAAAGCACGTCTTTGAGCAGGCGTCTAACCATCCGTTCCTGGTTGGCCTCCACTCCTGTTTCCAGACAGAAAGCAGGTGTGATAGGATTGCCCCCTCTCACCTGATTATTTTCAGGACAAGTTTGGTGTCCAGAAACAAGTCTTGAGGAATGCTAATGGAGCTCTCCAAAGTCAGATGAAACCAGTTAAAGTATGCATATAGTGCAGACCTTTTTGCTCACTGCTTCACTTGATAGATTTCCTGATTTATTGGTTGGTATAAGTTCTATACGATAATTATGTGAACTATAGTCGAGTATTTGATTAGATTTATTAAAAATAGCTTAAATGTCACAAAGATTTCCTTTTATATCGTTGAGACTTGAGGTAGAAATCATCCTGTCATTAAAGGTCATAATTGTTTGAAACAATACACACATACCCATACATATTGGTAAGCAAAGCTATTTTAAAGGTCAGGACATAATCGAGGTCACTTATTGTTCTGGGAAGATCCCCGTTATGTTGAAACCCCCACATTTGTTACTTGGTGTCAGGTGTGTAAGGCACGTTTTCTCTCTGCAGACTCTTCTTTGTTATTGAATATGTAAATGGGGGCGATCTCATGTTCCACATGCAAAGACAAAGGAAACTTCCAGAAGAACATGCCAGGTAAGCTTAAACAATTTCTTTTATGTGTATTTTAATGCAATAAAGTGATTGTCTTTATGTCGCAGCATTTTTTTCTTTCTTTCATTTCAGATTCTACTCAGCAGAGATCAGTCTGGCGCTAAACTACCTCCATGAGCGGGGAATCATCTACCGAGATTTGAAACTGGACAACGTACTGCTGGACTCTGAGGGACACATCAAACTTACAGACTACGGAATGTGCAAGGTGGGGTTGTTTTGTTTTGTTTATTTAACATATTTTTTCTGTTCATTTTGTAAAGTCATTCATGGTGAAAGCTGCTGATGTGAATTCTAGTGGATGATCTATGTTTTTGCGTTTGCAGGAGGGGCTGAGACCAGGTGATACGACAAGCACTTTCTGTGGTACTCCCAATTACATCGCTCCTGAAATACTCAGAGGAGAGGATTACGGTGAGAATTACAGCAGAAACACTTTCGGATGATCATCTAGAAAACGTTTCAGAGAAATATCTGAGCTGCTGCTTATTTAAAATGATTTGAATTTCACATGGTGCTCTCATAAGTATGGACTTGGGCACGTTCAACACATGTCTTAAGGCTGTGCACTAAATGCACTGTGATTTATTATCGTGTGATTGTTCAGTAAAACAATGTTGATTTTACATTTCTTCATCAAGTTGATAGCTTGCTCTTGTTGTGTTGTTGTGTGTCCTTGTTCTGCAGGTCTAGAAGCAGACTCTTGTTCATCATTGAATGTTTATTTTCGTGGGGACAATCCCCAACCCCCCCCCCCCCCCCCGTCTCTTCCTTTCTCTTTCACCTCTGTCTCCGTGTCTGGTCGGAATTGCAAAGCATTCAAAAAACAATAACAATAAAGTTTTAAGTATCCGGTGTGACATTAAAAGCAGAAGCTTTGATGCTCCTCCTGAGAGTAAATCTGTAAGGTTTGTCACCAGCATTCAGACATCAATTCTGTTTGCTTCACAGCCAGACAGGACATGAAAAAAAAATTATATTAATTTCTTTTAATTTCTTCATATTTAACCGTGACACTCCCAGTTAAATGCTGTCTATGTTTACACCTATGCACCATTTTTTTAAAGGGGTGGAGGGTTGTAAATCTACAAGTATGACTCAAAGATCTAAGAAGTTATTGTTTTAGCAAAGACAGTTTCAGGGGCCTCACTTAAATACCACTTCCTGCATCACGACTGAGGCTCATGCATGCAAGAATTCATATACGTAAAAACAAAATAAAAATAGAAAGGGCTCTTTGGTAACCGATTTGGTATCATAGCGACGAGTTTCACAACAACCCAAAAAAGTTATTTTAAAGGCTTAAATTCAGTTAATGAAATCAGCTGCTTATCTTTGCAGATTTTTATTGTATTATAGAATAAGAAGCACAGAGACGAATAATGGCTGGGTTCCATTTCTGTTCCCATTCAGACGTCTAGTTGCCATGATGAACACATCATTTGGGAACAACAGTGAATTTTCTTTTTGTTTTTTGGCGATTATACTTCACATCCTGTCCTTGAACTCAAAACTAAAACAAGGTTGAGTTATAAATTATTTTAAAATATTTTTAAACTTCAAATATTATCACTGCTCACCTCTTCCTGGATCACTAAGTTATGTTTTTACTAGAGGTCGACCAATATTGGTTTTTCTATTGCCGATGTCGATATGTTGGAGACATGGTCAGCCGATGGCCGATATGTCCATTTTTATGGCCAATATCTAGACGTTTTTTTTACATTTTCATGTTAAAGGGACTTTACAGAGTTTTGAATTTTTATGCTCGTGATTGCCCCCTCAGGCCAAAAGCGTAACGGCAGCTTCAGTAGTAGGCTCGTGCACGAGGCGCACATGCTGTACGTGCACACTCCTTAACGAAAATAACAGCTGAGACAGTCCCGTATGTGTGCGTGCGTGCGTGCGTGCGTGGGAGGCCCGGAGGACAGGAGAACGTGCAGCTAATTAATAAAATAATTTGGTTCTGTACCTTTCTCTTCAGCACAGCCGACAAAGGTTTATGATGGGTCAGTCTTCCTGCATGCTCAGATCATTCCCATCCCTTGCTTGAAAAATTGTTCCGAAATGAAAGTTGAACACACATCTTTTTATCTGTGAATTCAATGCCGTTTGGCGAGTCTCAAATAAAAATTTGGGCATCTTACTGTAAAAAAAATATACCACTAATGTAAAAAATAAACTCTAAATAAATTATGTTCACACCCAGAATCGAACCCGGGTCTTCCGCACGGGAGTCCGCCGTTTTAAGCCGGGTGTACACTGTGCGACCTTTTCACTTTTTTGAGCCGATTTTCCAGTCGTACGAGAATCCACGACATCTGGGCGAGTTTTGCGCCGAGCGGTCGTGTAGTGTACAGGGGGTTACGAGAGGCGATTAACACCACGTGACCAGCTGCCGATCAGCAGTCGTGAGGTTGCACGGACTTCTGGCGTGTTTATTATTTCGCTCGTCCCTCGTGAGGGTATCGCACTGTTGAAGCGGCGCTGCGAGCAGCTGCGACCCAAAAAGTATCAGAACCACTCACGGCGTATTCGCAATCCTGCATCAGCGCCGCTCCCCGCTATTTCCCTAATAACACACGCTGTTCGTTTGTGTTTCTACACGTTTTTTTTACTCACAAAGATTGTCAAGAAAGCGTGTTTGTCGTGTTCATGTCAAATTAAACTGATCACAAAACACAGATTTACTTTCTTTATTTCGTTTTCCTCATCCAACCCCCATAAATCCCTGTGTGTCCTCCTGCAGCATTCCCGAAGGACAACAGGCAAAACAAGACAAAAAAGTCTGACGTGTTGAGTAAAAACTGCTATTTTTAGCACATTTTTAGGGCCGACGTGTTGCTACCAGACGTACAGTGTGAGTAGTCAGGTCGCATCCGAGAACTGGGTCGTGCAGTGTGAGCGCATGACTCGTGAGATCTGCCCTGCGAGGAAGCCGTACAGTTTGAGCTGAAGCTGAACGCTGCAAGTGAAAAAGTCGCACAGTGTACGCCCGGCTTTACTGGATGTGCTATAGCACCAGTGACGTCTTTTGTATCTGTAATATTTATATTCCTGATGACAGCTGAAATAACGTTCAAAGAACAGTTCGGAGTGAAAATGGCTATTTTGTTGCTAATTTGCAGGAAATATCTAGAAGAAAGTAGCTAAGGGTCCTCAGAAATGTAGCTAGGTTCGTCACTAGGCGTTAGGAACAGCGACAAAGTCGCTGAGTTGGCACTACCTCACTCTGCTGCTAAAGCTACGGATAGCAAATGCTACGGGCTACGCCTGAGCGTCAACGCGCATGAAGCAGCCTGCTCGACCCGAGCAGATCTCTTTTTCTGTGATTTTACAGAAAAACAGGCAATCACAGTAAAAATGCCAGGACTCATTCTACAGGACCAGGGCATTGCAGGAGAATGTATGAAGAAGACATTTATTATTTCTATACATGTTTTGGCTGTCAAACTTCCATAATGCCCCTTTAAGATGTTACTGATTACATCAGTTGATGCACAAAATTTCTGAAGCTGAATGAGTTTTTGAACTCCGAATTTAACAAATTGTTAAATCTTCGTGCACTGCTCAGTGTTAAAGTCAGACACATAAATTAAGTAAATTTATAGTATTTGTTATGCAGATGTTATTAGTATACGTAAAAATGCATTTAAATACAATTCTGCAACTGCACCGGGCTGCTTGAGGATGTGCCTGACTTAAAATCGGCTTTACGAAAAACATATATCGGTCAATGCTGATGTATAAAAAATGGTAAATAGTGGCTGACCGATATATCGGTCTACTCCTAGTTTTTACCATCAGATTTACTGCAGTAAATCACTAGAGATCCTAATGTTTTGGATAAAAAGTTAGGTCTATGTACAGAATAAAGGTTTATTCTCACACTGGTTTGTGCAGCCAGATGTAGGCTTTCATACTGCACGTGCACAGATTTTTTTCTCCTGAAAAAAGTGGTTGCGTTGACACCAATGTTCTTGTTTTTATTTTTTGTAGTTTTAAACAAATCTTGGATTATTTTTGCATTAAATGTAAGCTGTAACAAACTAAATGTGTGTCTCAGGTTTCAGCGTGGACTGGTGGGCACTGGGGGTGCTGATGTTTGAGATGATGGCGGGACGATCGCCGTTCGACATTGTCGGTAGCTCTGACAACCCCGACCAAAATACAGAAGACTACCTCTTCCAAGGTAAAACACACGCAGCTACGTCTTTCAGCTACAACCTGCTGTGTGGAAGCATGCAACACTTTTTTCTTGACACCTTTATAACGGCTTCTGTCTGTACCAGGAGCATGCCATCTGTTGCAGGGAAACGTGTGAAAATATGTGTTTTCCCATTGTTTCATCATAAATATGGTCTCAGTATGTGTTTTGTTTTCTTAGAATAGCCACTGAGGTGTTGGATTTACTGACTTGATGCATAATTCAAAACATCTTATCACAGCATCCATCACTGGAGACCACTGTATGAATCAGTATGAGTAATATTGGACTCCTAGCTGCAGCAGTGTCAGGAACTTGTCATTTTAGTAGTACCAGGAAAGTCTATCTCAATGTGTCCTCTTATTCCACCCCCTGCAGTTATATTGGAAAAACAGATCCGAATCCCTCGCTCGCTGTCTGTCAAAGCTGCCAGCGTTCTAAAGGGATTCCTCAACAAGGTAAGACGGGATTAGATGGGTCGTTATTGGTCTTAAACAATGTCTGTTCCTGCTGGGAGATACACTGTGGTGGCCCTGCTAGCTGCCTGTGATCTCCACGTGGTTCCTCCTTTTTTCTGTCTAACCTGCTCAAGCATTTTCTTTACTTTTAGTACTTTGTGTTTATTTTTGTTATTGAGCTCTCTGGAGATCTTTGTTTGGGCTGATTATTTTGAGTAGTATTTAAACAAACCGGTGTGTAGCAAACAACAAATTCATTTTTCTTATGCTTTATTGGGATTTTGGCTAACTTTTAACATTGTAAATGCATTAAAAATGTGAAACTGTGGCGATAAATCGAAACTGTCGCCCCCTGCTGGTCAATGGTGGAACGCAGTCCATCAGCTCAGGTGTCATTTCATATTTGTTTATAATAAAATTACTTTTTTGACCTCTTGTGATCACTGCCTCTCTTTCTGTTTATGTAACAGCTGTGCATAACTAGGTATGATTATTGAAACTGGTACTCGATGAGCAAAGACCTTGATATCAAGACAGGGGAAACATGAGTTTTTAAATCTAATAGGAAAATGTTTATTTTCTCTTTTTTTATGTTTCAGTCATACACAATCTTTTCAACATAAAATGAGTAAATTATAGACAGAAATGGTCTTCATCCTTAAGACATTTGCAGGATTTTTTTCTTTCATGTTTCCTTTTATTAAAAATCATCTTTTCCACTGCCCATACAAACTGTCTTCCATTTTTCTTTCTTCTTGCTGGTTTTCTGACATGTGGGTTGATCTCCCACCGTCTCTCACCCTCTTATCTTCACTCCCGCAGGATCCCAAGGAGCGTCTGGGCTGCCACCCTCAGACAGGCTTCGCCGACATCATGGGCCATCCGTTCTTCCGAAACGTTGACTGGGATCTTGTGAGTGATTAGAGATTTTTGCCTTTTCTCTTTTATACCGTATTCTCTATCTTCTCACATAGTTGTTGTTATTTTATTAATAACTCCAAATGAGTGAAATTGGAACCGTTTACCATGTAATTTAGACAGCAGAGGGCCAAAATATATTTCTTGTCATGTCCTGCAGGTGTAGCCACTATGGATTTAGACTCATATCCCTGTTGAAAGCAGACAAACAAGCCAGGCAAAAGGCTGACAACAGCAGACAGGATGACTAACACATGGGCTGCCACGCACACCAAAGATGGGAAAACAGTATTAGAGGAGATGGATAGTAGAGATGGTGCATATAGAGTTAAAATACTAAGCTGTGGATGTCTGAATTGTCTGTGGTTCATGTTCATAAAAAGGCACAATGAAATCTATTTTTAGCAATGGTTTTACTCTAACTTCAGAATGAAAGTTTGAACAACCCACTGAGGTTCCAGTATTCAGATAGGCTGCTCTAACTTCCTCTGAAACAGTGGTTTGTAATCTTGGTCAGTGATGCTGAAAACCACGTTTGACTTTCTTCACGAGTTTTCCTTTAACTATGTGTAATTATGTGTATTGTTTCTTCGTAAGCAATTCCTTTATGTGGGACACAGTCGAGGAAGTCGGCACCTCACATGCGAGACGTATCAGAATACATCTCTAAAGAATATCAGTGAAATGTGATCTGAACCAGAAATACTCGGGTTTAAACTTCCTGCTTTCAGTTTCAGCAATGAATGAATTTTATTTAGTGACAGTGATCACTATGATCTAAAATCAATGTCTGATTTATTTATTTTTTCCTATGATCCAGGAAAATATTTCAGTCTAGAAAAAAATGTTAAAGCTGCAATGGCAAATTTGGAGAACAAATTACCTTAAATTGTTGTTTTTCATTATTCTTAATGTTCTAACAGTATAGCTATAAATATTTCGTGAAGATAAAAAATAAATTAAAAAAAATGAATGAAGCGATTCTCTCACATTTGTCTAAAAATGTCCGCCAATAACACGTTTAGGACCACGTTTGGTCCATCCAGTTGTCGGTGTCGCCGAAACGCCGCACTTCCCTGCGTCCTCTTCTCCTTGCATATTTAGCTACAGAACACCACTGGTGTGAGAGGTTCTCGGCTCAATAATATCAGGAGAAACCACCGGCTGCTACCACTTCAACTTTTTAGGACAAACTACCAGAGTCCAAAAAAGAAAAACACCATTTGAAGTCACGAACCTAGAAAACAGCAGCTGGTGTTTAGCACTATCTTGTTTCCTCTGGCAATGCTCTCAGGGAAGATACCCGAGGGGAGGGGTGAGTATTTCATGACTGTGTTTGCATTCAAAACCTAACTTGTTCTGTCGATTCGCTATAACAGCTTTAATCAAGGGGAAAAAAAACAAGTGAAATAAAGTAGCTCACTGAAACAGCCATATGCAACATTTGAACATAATGTATTTAGATGTAAACAGTATAGTTTGTTAAAGCCTGTCCAGACAAGCAGCTGTACATGTAGAGCTGCCCACGTGAGCAGGATCAGGCTCATTTCATCTCCAAAGACAGACCAGCATGTGCTGGTGGATGACAAACAGAGCGGGCAGCTCAGCAGGGATCACCATGACCTCCTTTTCCCTGTTTGGTCTGGAGCAGAGACCCAGCAGTTGGTCAGAGTGTCTGGACAGATCAGCTTACACTCCCTCCCCCTTCCACCTTCACCCCCTCCCAATGCAAATCCTCCAAAAGTCTGACCTTTAATTTACTCTCTGGCCTGCAGGGGGAGCCATCTCCAGTTTCCAAGTAGCCAATGAGTTCTACCTGTTAAACTGATTGATGTACACACACACATTTGATCAAAGAGCGAGTGAGCTTTTTAGAAGAAATTATTTTTCTGGGAACCAGTATGAATTCTGTGGTGGGAACTACGCGTGTGAAATGTGTCATACTGGATTTTCACTGCAGTATGAGGTGCTACGTGTGCTTTTTGCACCAGCTTTTAAAAAAAGAATATTAAAGATTTCAATTGGGAAAACAAATATCCCAACTTGAATATATATATATATATATATATATATATATATATATATATATATATATATATATATATATATATATATATATTTAAATGCATATTTTATTATTTACTTAATTTGATATCAGTCCAAATAAAGTTTGGTTATTTTAATGAAAAATTACTTCTGCAAGTGAACTCTCCATTTTATCAATAAAAGACACACAGATCAATATTAAAAATGTTAATTCAGCCTATATTAAAACCTCTTGGGTCACATTCCTGTTTTATTTGCTGCTGTTTCAGCTGGAGCAGAAGCAGGTGGTCCCTCCGTTCAAACCCAACATCTCAGGGGAATTCGGACTGGACAACTTCGACGCCCAGTTCACCAACGAGCCCATCCAGCTCACACCCGATGACGAGTGAGTTTCCTCTTCATCTCCTCGGCTTCCAGCTCTCATCGTCATTCTGCTCACGCTGCATTTATCCTTTTGTTTTATTTTAGCGATGTGGTCAAGAAGATCGACCAGTCAGAGTTCGAAGGCTTCGAGTACATCAACCCTCTGCTGATGTCTGCGGAGGAGTGTGTGTGAGAGATGTGACAGCTTGTCCTTGTGAAGACCACCCACACACACATACACACTTCAGTACGTGTTTACGTGGCGTCGCAGTGTCTTCAAACTGCATGGTTATGAGACGAGCCGGCGACATCCACCTTTTGTTCGAGGGCCACACGTGCACAGCAGAACGCTTATTTGCCAAAACCAGTCTCACACTCTGCCATTTATAACCACTTGCCCTTAATTCTACCTTCTTTCATAATTATTTTTATACCATGTAAATGTTTTCAAATATCAGTTCTTTATTCAGTAAACATCATGGCCGCAACGTTCTTCCAGGGTTGCTGTACGTGGGTGTAGGAGAGGCGAGTCACAGCCGACTGAGCATCCACTCCTTTCAGCTGGCGGGGCGTTTCCATGCGTATTTTATTTGTAAATAATTATTAAAAAAAACATTAGATGGAGCTTCAAGCCACACAAATGGCATGTTAATTGCCATCTTTGTCTGGTATATCATAAAAAAACATAACACTAGCCTTATAAAAAGATGAAAATATATATTTTCTCATATTTTATTTAACATAATCTGAGTCATAAATGTTACACATCTAGTTGGGGTAAGTGAACGAGACAAGCGCTTCAAATCTGAGAAAATAAAAGCTTCAGGTCCCATAATGAAGGAAACCAAACTGGAGTATGACGCTAATGTTGAGTTGATGCTCTCAGACTGTGAACGAATGAGCTGGAAGAATAGCACAAAGTACCTGAATGCCCGAGCACAGGTTAAATGTTGCCGCGCAGAATTATACACACACAGGACCAAAAAACCCAACATTTTTATGAAAAATGTCTAGCTGGTACTTGTTAGATGGTACAAAAAAATGTGCTGTCCTAGGTCATAGAATTTATACATTCAGATATCTTTTCTCATTTGTATTATTGTTATATATTTCTGAAACATAATCTCTTATTGTTTTTGGATTTTCTTCATTCCATGTTTGTCGTTTCGTTTGTCGACACTGTTGATTCAAGAGCTCGGTTTACAGTCTAAATCTACAGTTTTTAGTCCTAAACTGTGGCTTTAAGCCTGCAGCCCTACATTTAGACCTTTGATGTGAGGATTTTCTAAAACAGCTTTAAAGATCTGAACTCTCCACCTCCTGAATGTAACACTAGGAAATGGTCCATGTTTAAGAACATGCTTTGGGGCTCATGTGGTCATATTCTACTGTTACTTTATTGTTACTTTTCTGTTCATTCAGATTTTTTTAAATGATCACTACATTTATTCCAAAACGTTATGGGGTGTGAACCCGCTGTTAACACTATTGTTTGTATTTGTTTTGTGTTTTGCAGATGTTTTATCATCTGTACAACTTTATTATTAGTGCATTTGAGGAAAAAAATCCAGATGGTAAAATAAACATTTTATTCCTCTTCTTGTAATAATGTGTGATTGTGGTTTTTACTCTGTCATTTGTTAGTGTTAACACCTCAGCATGCGACTCAGTTGATCATTATTTCATAATTATTTTAAGATCTCTGATATCCAAATACTTGCAAATTATAAATTGGCACTTTAAGCTGATGAGATTTCAGGTAAAGTAATTTTTTGAACTTGCTCAGGTTTGTTGGCACACACCGATGTGTATAAGAATGGATTTTGTATGAGAAGCTCCCTTCATGCGAGCCAGCTGGACTCCTCACTGACTTAAACAAATTAGCAGGACTGTGTTTTGTTTTGAATTGATAAGCAGCCTTAGAAATGCAAATGTAAGCACTCGAACACAGAAAACGTGATTTTTTTCTTTGCAATGTCCACTTAAACAGCATTCCAGGTTTTGGTACGTTTTACTGAAATATAATGATTCTTTGACTCACTGATCCCATAAGTAAAAGTCCTGGAAGGAATGCATGTTGCTTTCCATTTTTCATCTTTTAGTATTAAAAAAAACATTGGATGTAGAAACCTGTTGTGAGTGACTTGAATGATTTGTAGGCGAAAACGGCAAAAAATTTGCAATGATACTGTGATTTCTGCTAAAGTTGTTAGAATTCATACTTTAGTATGATATTGTGCAAATGCACCAAAGTCATTCAGTTTTTTTTTTCTTACATTTGGTTATAAACCTTCCCCATGCAGGACCAGTCCCTGTAACTGACCTACTAAAACCGGATCTCGTTGACATCTCGGGCTCCTGCACCACATGGCATTTTCTCCTGTCATGCGTCATTTTGCTGCAGAGACTTAACCTGAGCTCCCCAACCCCCCATATGGGCATCCTGGTGTGAAGAGAATTAGACTGGATGTGTTAAGCTTGAGCAGTGCCCTTCGGTCTCCCCTGTCGATGTCTGGACACGTGAGCTCCACCAGGCTTTTAGAGAGGCCTGGTCTTCCCTGTGGGGTGAAAAGGTCACCGGCCTGTTAGCCCTCCTCTCTGCCCTCACAAGTGTTGAGTGAGGTGATAAATGATGGAAATGATGTGTCAAAAACAATAAAGCTGTTTTAGATCCAGTAAACCACTGCATGTTGTCTAAATTAGGCCAGAGCATTTTCCCTCACTTAGGATTAATGTGTATGCGAGTCCCTTGATGGCGTGTTTGACATTGTTCCTGTGCCCTCCCTGGTTGAGAACAGGGGTGCTTCTCTCCAGGCACAAAGTCCTGCAAAAGACACGAGGAAGACTAACCTTGTTTAATTAATGATGCACTACGGAGGAGGAACTAGGGGAAAACATCCTGTTCTAATTGCATTTATCTTGTTGGGTGTTTCTGTCAGTCCCTGAAGGGATTAATTAAGCTGCAGCAAACTTGGTGCTAAATGCTATTCCTTAAAAACACACACCACACTTTAGGCTAGCTCTCCCTTTGGCACTGCCATCGTACTGCATTTAATGCTGCTTCAGACTGTATTGCGGCAAATCCATGAGTGATCTCAAGCGTCTGCTGTTGGCTACAGACTGGAGTGTGCTCCTCTAATGATTGTATTAATATAGTTAAATGTAAGAGAAACATGTGTTTAATCTACAGACTCTTGGCATTAATGACCATCACAAGAATCAAATGAGCATGAAGCATGTAGAGGAGCAGTGTATATAAATCTTTAAAATGAAATAAAGCTTTCCAAACTGCTCTTGATGTCACAGCATGCCGTTTGTGTACGCCGACAGAGATATCAGTCATTTTAGTGCCAGCAGCTCTGATTTTGTCTCTTTAACAGGCTGTTGGACGACTATCTTAAATCAGACCATTTCCTACCAGGGTCATTTTAAATGGCATGTACAGTAACAACACTGATGTTGTTTTTTTTGATAAAGAATCTGAACGTAATGTAGGTCAGTCGAGTGCTGTATCTTTTTAGGGAGACTGTATCAAACAGATACTAGAAGAACAGGATGGATTGATTGAGATGAGGAAGAAGAAGAAGAAGAAAATATCATTTCTATAGCGCCTCTCAAGATAAAAATCACGAGGTGCTTCACAAAAACAAAAAAATGTTAAAATATAAAAAAAGCATTTAGAAAATGTTTAAAAATATATTTTAAATGAGCAAAAATAGACAATTGTGATTTAAAAGAAAAAAATGTTAAGAAAGAGAGAGAGTGAACAGGAAAGAGGGAAATCAGTGGATCCTGAGGAAGGTGGAATAGGTGGGGAGAGCAGAACAAGGAGATAGGGGTTGATGAAGGTCATACAAAAGCCAGCTTGAACAAGTGAGTCTTCAGCTGCTTTTTAAAGGAGACCACTGAGTCCACTGATCTCAGGCTCAGGGAGAGAGTTCCAGAGTCTGGGAGCCACAGCAGCAAATGATCTGTCACCTTTGGTCTTTAGCCTGGTGCTGCACAACCAGTAGGCTTTGGTCACTGGACCTCAGGGACCTGCTGGGGGTGTAGGGACTAAGAAGATCACCAATGTAAGATGGTGCTTGTCCATGAAAGGCCCTATAGACTAGAACCAGGATCTTGAAATGAACCCTGAAGTTGACTGGCAGCCAGTGAAGCTGGAGGAGAAGCGGGGTGATGCAAGTGTGTTTGGAGGACTTGGCCAGAAGCCGAGCACAGGCATTCTGAACCACCTGTAGACGGTTCAGGGAGGTTCTGCTCAGACACGTGAAAAGAGAGTTACAGTAGTCTAAGCGTGAGGAGATGAAGATGTGGAGAACAGTCTCAAGTTCAGAGCGGGACGGAATGGGACTCAGCTTAGCAATGTTCCTGCGATGGAAGAAGGAAGAGCGAACAAGAGAACTGACATGAGAATCCAGGGTAAGAGCTGGGTCAAAGGTCACGCCAAGATTCCTGACTGAAGGTTTGGTGTGGGAAGCAAGCTGACCAAGAGAGTCTCTGACTTTGGGAACCAGCTTGTCTGGGGCACAGATGAGGATCTCAGTCTTATCTTCATTCAGCTGAAGAAAGCTCCCAGCCATCCAGGTTTTAATAGAGTCTAAGCAGGTGTGTAACAGCTGGAGCTTAGACATCTCATGGGGCTTAAAGGAGATGTACAGCTGGATGTCATCTGCATAAAGATGGTAGGAGATTCCTTTGAAGGAGCTCAGGATGTGCTGAAGAGGAAGCAGATAGAGGAGGAAGGGTAGAGGCCCCAGCACAGAACCTTGTGGGACACCATGGGTAAGAGAGGTGGTGGAGGACCTAAACTTGGAGACGGCCACAGAAAAGGAGCGCTCAGAGAGATAAGAGGAGAACCACTCCAGAGCAGATCCTGATAGGCCTACCCAGTCTCTCAGCCTCTCCAGTAGCAGGTGATGGTCAACAGTGTCAAAGGCTGCAGTCAGGTCCAGCAGGACCAGAACAGAACAGTCCCCTGCATCACTGTGAGTCAGAAGGTCATTAGAGACCCTAAGAAGAGCTGTTTCAGTAGAATGAGCTCTACGAAAACCTGACTGGAAGCTATCATAGATGTTATGTTCATCAAGAGCAGCTGTGAGTTGTTTAGCCACAACCTTTTCCAAGATCTTGGAGATGAACAGAAGTTTAGAGATGGGTCTGAAGCTGCTATGGAGAGAGGGGTCGAGACTCGGTTTTTTAAGAAGCGGGTGGATTACAGCATTCTTAAACTAAGCAGGGACCTGACCAGAAACCAGAGAAGCATTGATTATAGAGAGCACGCAGGGACCGATGGACTGAAAAGCACTTTTAAACAAAGATGAGGGTAAGATGTCGAGGGGGCATGCAGAGGTCTTCATAGAGTTAACTAGTTTGGTTAACTCAGGCAGAGAAACAGGAGCAAAGCTATCTAGGATGATGGGCCTGGTTGGAGTCGGGAGAGGCGGCGATAAGGCTGAAGGAGAGATGCTAGATCTAACCTTATTGACTTTGTCCACAAAGAAAGACAGAAAGTTCTCACAGTCTGCAACAGAGTGGATGGAGGCTGTAGGAGAGGCAGGAGACACGATGCTGCTGATGGTGTTAAACAGCACCTTGGGGTTCCCTTTGCTCTGGGACACCAGGTTGGAGAAATAGGAAACCCTCGCGTCTCTGACTGCAGAGTTAAAGGATGTCAGAAGATTCTTTAGGTGCAGCAGATAGACGTGGAGATGGGTTTTCTTCCACAAACGCTCAATTTTTCTGCATTGGCGCTTCAGGCTGCGAAGGCCGTCATTAAACCAGGGAGTAGGGTTCACTGCAGGAACTGATCTGGTTCTGACAGGACAGATGTTGTCCAGAATGGAGAGGCAGTGATCATTAAACTGAGAAGTTAAGGAATCTGGGTCGTTATCAGAAGAACGGGGTGGATCAAAAGCAGCAGAAAAATTGCTAGCTGTGCTCTCATTAAGAAAACGAGAACTAACCATACGGCGAGCAGGAGGTGGGGACGCAGAAACTGACAAGTTAAAGAAAATGCAATGGTGATTTGAAATATAAACGTCCTCAGGACAAACACTGTCAGCATTTAGACTCAGGGTAAAAGCAAGGTCTAGAGTGTGCCCCCTGGTGTGTGTGGGGCCAGAAACATGCTGGGTAAAGCTGAAGGAGTCCATAAGGCTGGAGAAATTCATGGCAAAGTGATCAGAGGGATCATCAACATGGATTTTAAAGTCACCAACAATCACCAGTCTGGACAGCTTCACAGTGGAGGATAGAAAGTCACTAAACTCCTGAAGGAAAGAACTGTTTGGACCAGGTGGACGATAGACCACAGCACAGTAGAACGGGTCCTTACGCCCGACTTTAATCAGCTGCAGTTCAAAGGAAGCAAAGTGACCAGAGGTTGTAGAGCTCAGTCTTTAGTTTGAGTAAAGATCCATTTGACATTGTTTTTTTACACTGGAATTTAAAGTAAAATACATATTTAATCCTTTTTTGTGGAATGGTTATATTATGACAGAATATGTCATATAATCATAAAATATTTCTTGGGAAGGGGTGGGGTGGGGATCATTAACAATGAGCAGTTTCCTGCTCCTTCATCCTGCTAGTTGAAAGTGGAATAACAACCATCATAAACAACCCTGATGCCACCAGCACAAAAAACAAGCTAACGCTAACATGAGCCCACAAATACTAAAATAAACCACAATGTAAAACATCTGCACTGAACATGATTACTTACAAGTCCAGTAGCAACAAAGCCAGGTCACCATCAGTCCCTGATTTTGTAGCCTCCTTTAGCTCCTTCAAACTAGCTTCGGCCGCGCCAATGTCTACTCCGGGTGTAGCTCTTTGCTTCACCTCCAAAGACATTACTCTCTTATTTTTACTTCCATGCTCCACCATGATACCAACAGAAAAAGCTAACTTATTATTTTTCTTCAACTGCTTCCAGGTGCAGCAGTAGCCTAGGGGGTAGAGCATGATGTCCAGTGATTGAAAGATTGCAGGTTTGATCCTAGCTCCCACCAGAGAATGCTGCTTTTGTTTCCTTTGGCAAGACACCTAACTCGTCTTGCCTGCTGGTGGTGGTCAGAGGGACCTATAGTGCCAGCATATGGCAGGCCTTGCCTCTGTCAGTGTGCCCCAGGGCAGCTGTGGCTACATTGTAGTTCCTCGTCACCTGTCACCTTAAAATGGGCGGGTGACTGATTGTGTTGCCATTTTACCTTCGTAGCTTTCTTGTCAGATTCAACAAAAATAACCAGAGTAGGAGTTGAGATGTCATCACACTCTCCGACATTTACCATAAAGCACCTTTTCAGGAGTGTCGATTCCTAAATTACGTTATTCCTTTTTGCTTTATGTTTCTTTATGAGAGCTGAAAGGTGAATGCTCAATAAAAGGAGTTTTTTTGTTTTGTTTTGTAAGAGCCAGACATTGAAAACATGACACATGGGTGCAAGATAAAACCAGAAACATCCTGCTGACACACATCACAGAGCAGAAAATCTTTGTAGTGTGTGCCTGAAGCCTCAGACTGCCACTTCTGTAAGCATCATTACCTCCAAATTACACATACATCCACTGAACAACTTAAGACACATTTCAATAACTCCCATTGATTGTAGACGAGATGTATGAAAACGACTAGAGAGGTGTCGGCCTCAAGGGTCCACTTAGTACTAAGTCCAATAACAGTTAGACAGACTCTGGGGCTAATGGAGAGGCTTATCAATGCACCAGTCTGCCACACTTTGTCCACAAGTCCCAGCTCTCCCACCTCTGTGCTCATCATCCTTCCACTTTTTGCGTTAAACCTCTGATGAACAATCAGTGCAGGTCACATTATTGCACATATGAGATTAATTTACTCCCCGCAGAACACAGAGTGATGTTATTACAGGAAAATCAATGTCCCTCTTGTTCTCTGGGGGGTGAACAGGGTGTATGCACATCTGCTCTCATAATACAACTGCTGACCTTGCTGTCAGTGAAGCCAGTGAGAGAGGCTGCGGCGAAACGGCCAACTGTGTTGTTTATCAAAGCTTTATCAAGCCTCTCTGCTCTCACCAACGTGTAACATCAGACTGTAGGTCAGCCAGCCGGCCAGGGTGCACTCCAGCTGAGAAAACAGCGGCGCATGTCGACAAAGGACGATAACCTCCCAAGATTGAGAAGATTTGGAATTAGTGTGATTTCTGTGAGCAGACTCAGAAAGTACTTGTGTTAAAGCTACTTACCCCATCACCAAAGGGGAAATGTCTGATCTATAATTAAAATAATCTGTTTTCTGTCATTCTTACTTGGATTTTATTAACTTATTTCATCTCCAAGAGCACAATAGACCTCCTGAATGACCTCTTGACCGTTTGCAGAGGACAGGTCTGTATGGTTGGGGGAAGGGAGCGCGCGGGGGGGGGCTTTTGGTCATTGAGTCTGTCCTCTTCTATTCTCTTGCTTTTCTGTGAACTCAGTGGGGAAGCCAACAAGATAAATAAAACAGCTGGCAGTTTGGGTGATGCTGCAGATATCCACCGCTCAAGGAAAATAATAATAATCAAGCAACAGAAAACTTAAGTGGTAACCATGTTACAATAAATATAATTAAATACTTTTAATATATAACTTTTTACTATTAAATGTATTGCTATGTTATATGTAAAGTATTAACATGAGTAAATAACTTTTTGAAAATAGTGCAAATAAAAAGAGGTGAAGGTCTGAAACCCAAATGATCTGTTACCATTTAATTATGCACATCAACATTATTATTGTTGTTGATTTAGGTTATTCCTTTTTTGCTTTCTGTTTCTTTATGAGTGCTGAAAGGTGAATGCTCAATAAAATGAGTTTTTTTGTTTGTTTTGTAAGAGCCAGACATTGAAAACGACACATGGGTGCAAGATATATATATTGTATAATTATTGTTATCTTAATGAAAGACAATTAAGTGATTATATATTAAATTATTATGTTGCACTTGCTACCTCACTAAATAACAGTAGTAGAGGAAGTAGGCCTACTTGATTTTTTTACTTACGTAAAAGTACAGACAAAGTAGTAAAAATTACATAGGTAAAAGTAGAATTGTCCAAGAAAATATTGACTTCAGTAAAAGTATTTTGAAAATGTACTTAAAAGTAAACAATGAAGGTATTCAACTAACATTTGAATATGAGTTGTGTGTTTGGAAGTGTGCTGCCTGTCGGACAAAATGTAATGGAGTCAAAGTAAAAAGTAGACCTCGAGAAAATTACAGTCATGGAAAAATTGTAATTAAGTACAATAATGAAATACTTGTACATAATGAAGTACTTTTACTTCGTAACTTTCCATCAAATAACAAGAACTGCCTAATGGTATTTATGTTTTAAAATCTTAAAGTACATAAGTCATAAATAATCTTAAAATGGGTTTTAAAAGTCAATTATATTAAGTGTATGTTACAAATTGTAACATTTTAATTTGTTTACATGATGATGAACAATTGTGTTAAAGAATTGCAGTGAGGACCAAATTTGAACCATTTCACGACCTGGAAAAAGTCCCCGCGCCACAATGTTGAGTCCCCTCTGACCCAGTTGCCCTGTTTCCCCGGCTCTGCTCTCGGCTCTACCTGCTGCTGGAGAAAAAAACCGTCCCAGACTGTGCGAGACAGGCAGACAGACAGACCTACAGACGAGAGACACCCCCGCATAGTTTCCGTCAGCCGGGTGACGTCTCCGCCTCTCAGCCCGTGTGCAGTGTGACGTTGCGGGCTGTAGTGTGGAGCTTCTAGCTGCATCTTGTTGACGCTCCGCCAGGCTTTTCCAGTGCTGAGAGGACTCCGAACGAGTGAGGACGACTGACACACTGTTCAGGCAAGTGTTAGCTGTTGGGTGGGATGGAAGGATTTTTTTTATTAACCGGGTAAATAAGAGTTCTTTTAGCGGATCTGATTTTGACATAAACGGTTGAAATCCTGTGTTTAGTCGCTTCCGACGGAGGGGGCGAAGCTAATCAGCTTTAGCCTGCCGTATCGCTCTCTATCATGGGTTAGCCTGCTGTAATATTAGCGCTTTCGGTCCGCAGGGTTAAACTGCTTATCGGTCGCTATGTTGGGTTAGCCTGCCCTAATAAATATAAGGGCTAATATTCATCGGTTTGGACGGGAACCGAGTCGGGTCAGTCCGCTTTAGTGGGAACTGGGTTAATTTAGCCTGTCTGTGCTCTGAGGAGGTTTACAGCAGTTTACACCGAGGAGACTGGGGGTGCGCTACCCATCGGGGTTTCACTGATTTACACTCACGTTGCACAGATTCTTACACCTTCTTTTTCTGAAGATCACAGATAAGAAAAAAGAGAAAGAAAAGCAGACTGCCCTGGTAATTTAGTTAAACATTTTCACGCTCAGACAGAATGCGGAGTGTTAAATGGTGCTTTTCCAACCGCTGGGGGGGGGGGGGGGGGGGGGGTATGGACACATCGCGGTCGGAAACCCCGCCGTGCCCTCACTAAATTGGCATGTGCGTAACGGACAAGCGCGGTGCCTTCCCAGACCAGACTGTAGTGTAGACAGTGAATGTCATTATCAGCGCTGTCTGCATACCTGCGCCGAGCCAGCAGAGGAGGAGGGGGAGCAGGAGCAGCGTAATACGCGGTGTCCTTGCAGCAAAAACGGTTCCAGACATGGGGGGTGACATTAAAGACGGACTTTACTCACGGTTTATTCTGTTAAGGAAAAGTCGCGCGCCTCGTTTTCTGTCTGGTACCAGCGGGATCCCAGCCGAAGGTGGCTCCCCCGAAGATCCTCACTTATTGGTCGGTGATTTGCCGTGTAGATTCGAGTCTACCCACGGTGGGGGTTTGCCATTAAAACGCCCTCACGCATCAACCTGCAAATTCAAGATTTTCTCCGCAGCTGCGTTTTTACCTGATTTCTGGGGGAAAAATAAACGGGATACTATTTTTTATGTCTTAAAAACACACACCTGCATCTTTTATGTTCATTTGCAAGACCGAAAAATTGCATTTAGAGCATTTCACCGTATGGAAATCCAAATTTCTCCAAGTTGAAATGGGTTAAAGCTGCCGTGTCTCGTGTCTTAGTGCAGCAGTGGCCACGGTCAACACTGCGTTTTAAATGATGATCAGGTTGCTGATGTATATATCAAATAAAGGGGTGAACGCTGCTTTTTCCGTAGTGCTGCTGCATGTCAAGCTGTGAGAGGACCAAAGAGGGGAGGCGGGGAGGGTTGACCGCTGGTAACGCTTTTATCATGTTCTTCATGGGGTTGATGGGTGAACAGACGAATGGGGGATGGCATGGTGTGGCTCTGGGAAGGACACTTTACATTTGCAAAGTGAAATGTTTCCCCCCCCCCCCCCCCTGACCATTGTGTATTTGCCTTTCATTAACAATGTAATGAGAACCGGGTGGGTGGTGAATTTCAAATCCCAGCCAACCGGTTTGTTAAAATTCTCACTTTGTGCTTGAAACCTTAATTTGAATTTCCTCTTGGGTTCAATTGCAAGAGCTAAGAAAAGCCTCGTGTTTGTGTGAAGTATGGTAATTGCCATTTGGTTTATTTGGACCATAATAACAGCCTCTGAAGTCCCAAACAGGGAAGGCATAAAACCTAAAACACTGGTCATAACACCTTTCGATGACACTGGAATTTAAAGTTTTTGTCTCTTCTGCTTTCTAAATTGCTTCATTTTTCATGTTCAGGCAGCAGATCAGAACCTAGACAACCTAACCATCATGAAGACTTGCGTCATTTAAAAAAAGACTCCAGGGGGTGAGAAGCCAGAGGAAAACGAGAAACAGTCAGAAGAACAGGAGACAAGCGACTGTAACCCTGTGCTTGGACATGGCCAGCACCCAGACCAGTTTGAAAACTCCTTTCAAAGACTTGACCTCCTTCAAGGGCAACATGAAGCGTCTGTACAGAGAGCGAATGGAAGACGCACCCATCAAGAAGCGACTGATGGCCGAAATGAATTTGAAGCGGCGTGGTTTGGATCCCCTCACCAAAACTCCTAAAGTGAAGAGGGAGCAGATGGAGGATCTGCACCATGATGTTGACATGGATGTGGAGGGCCGGGCTGAAATGCATGTCATGGGCTCAGGTAAAGCTCTGGACCTGAGTCCTGGCCTCAAACACACACTGGCCCAGTTTACTCTCAGCAGCCAGAGCTCCCTCGGGGGCCCAGCTGCCTTCTCAGCCCGAACTGGCCATGAGCATTCTGCTGGTATGCCCCCCCTGCCCTCCCCTCCTGTGTTAGGAGGGGGCCCTCTACTGGTTCCATGTGACAGCTCAACTGAACTCACCCACTCGCTACTGGAAGGAGAGTCCATCTCCTGCTTTGTCGTTGGTGGGGAGAAAAGGCTGTGCCTGCCTCAGGTGCTCAACTCTGTGCTCCGTGACTTTTCGCTGCAGCAGATCAACACGGTGTGCGACGAGCTGTACGTTTACTGCTCTCGCTGCGACGCAGAGCAGCTGCACATCCTAAAGGTTCTGGGCATTCTACCGTTCAACGCGCCGTCCTGCGGCCTCATTACGCTGACTGATGCGCAGCGGCTGTGCAATGCTCTCCTGCGTCCCGGGGCAGCTTTGCCCGCCGATCCCAGCGGCAAGCTGTCGGTCCAGGGCCTGCTGAAGGAGAGCGAGGCCAGCTTCCAGGTGGAGCACCAGTGTCTGGGGAAGTGCCAAGGTCTCTTCGTGCCCCACTTCTACTCTCAGCCTGAGGCACCATGCATCCAGTGTGTCGAGTGCCAGCTGCTCTTTTCACCTCAGAAGTTTGTCATGCATTCACACAAGTCACCCGATAAGAGGACCTGCCACTGGGGCTTTGATTCAGCCAAGTGGCCATGCTATCTGCAACTTGCCAGGAAGTACCAGGGGACGCCCGAGGAACCCAAACTCAAGCAGCTCCTGGACGAGGTCAAAGAGAAGTTCCATTATCAACTGAAGAGGTCGCTAGACAAAGTAAGTTCACCTTTTAACGGTAACATTTGGTGTCAGCTGTTTGTGTTTCTGCATGTTTTCTATGCACAAAAATCTCAGTAGGCCTTTTTTAAGCCGTTTTCATTCTTTTTGATGGGTGGGAGACTACCTTATGGTTGGCATTTACATAAATCATTTATGACCTAGGGCAGGGCTATTCAATTCCAGGCCTCGAGGGCTGGTATCCAGCATGTTTTAGTGGTTTTTCTAGTCCAGCACACTAGGTTCAGTGGTTGAATCACCTGTGCAGCAGCTCACCAGGCTCTGCAGACGCCTGTTAATCACCTGCTGATTGAAATCAGGCGTGTTGAAGCAGCAATAAAACCAAAACATGCTGGATACCGGCCCTTGAGGCCCGGAATTGAATAGCCCTGACCTTGGGTGTGTCTGAAGCCGTGGACAAGTGGTGACATCTGCATCATCAGATCAGACACAGTTATAGATCAGCTGTCACGGCTGAGGAGGAAGTGCATCATTTGTTCCCTTAGGTCACCTGGAGGTCAGCGGGAATGACGCTCAGCTAAAGGCTAAAGTAGGAGGTTCTGAGAGACTCTAAAAGCAGTTACCTATTTAGTCATTTGTGTAGCGCTTAAAAAACAGAGTAAATTTTTGTGGAATTTGTCATTTTTCACACGTCGTTTTTGTTAATCAACCTGGAACAAAAAGGGTTCGTTGGAGGAAGAGCATTTCTAGATGTGGCAAAAGCCATTTTTCAGGAGTCCATCGTTCACCTGCGGGCAAACCTGAAATTGAAATTGCTTCATTGCAATAAAACCACTCATAACTGGAGCTTGAAATGCTACGGTCCCCCACAGTGGATGCTTTAGCTTTTTTTCTTCCTGCAGTGAGAAGAAAAATATTTCAATGTGAAAATGATGAAAACCTCAAGGCCAGAAAGTCAATAAAACAGTCAATGTTCGATTGGGGGGGTGGGGATGCTGTTCAGGATTTTAATTTTTTTCTGCCACTGAGTGTTTTATGATTCCTGACCTTCATTTGAGCTTCGTGCACCCCTGTCTTTATTGTTTTGATTATATTTTTGTCACTCCTGCATCCAGAATTTTTTTTTTTTTACGACCGTTTAAACGAAAACCACAACCCTTGCTTTCATGGTTTGTTTACCTCTATCCACACCAAACTAGCTGTTTGTGTGTAAGACTGTGGAGCAGAAAGGCCACACGGTGTATTTATAGGGACTGCAGGTGTCCAAAACACACACACACACACAAACACACAAATGTTTATGTGAAACAGACAAATAATTAGTATCTTCCATCTCTGGTTAACTCGGTGTGTGAATGTGGCGGAAATGCCGTCTCCTGTCTCGTCTCGCGTCCCGACCGCATTCCCGTCCCGCCTCTTCCCCAGCGTCCCTCTCCTTTTCTTCTGGATCACTTTAAGGTATGCCTCTTGGACGATGCAGACATTCTTTCTCTGAGGCAAAAGAGACATTTTGAGTGTAAACAGAAGCGGACGCAGACAACAGGCGTCACAAACGTCCAAGCATATGTAATGTCGGGGTGGTTATGAGTCTTTCTGTGTTTTTGTGTGCCAGACATTGCAGCTCTGCATGTGTGTAAAAGAGTAGATAATTGGAGGCTAGCATGACACATCTTCGTCTTTCTGTCTCACACTTTGCCAGGCTTTCTGGAGCCTGTGTCTCACCACAGTGTGAGGTGCTGTCTTCTCTGCGAGGTGATTTTCACAGCTTTTTCCCCCTATCTCTCTTTGCTGTTTATTAAGGTTTTGCTTTATTAGAAAAAGTAACGTGTCAGTGAATTTTTCCATAAAGGACGCGTTCCTTGAGAGAGCCTGGAAGTTTCCAGGAAGCAGGTGATCTCGTGCTTTAAAAGAGGATGACACTTCAGCTGTCCCCTCTGGAGCAGATATGAGTGTATCAAAGGTCGGAAACTGCTCACCGAGCGTGAACTCAGAGTCCCACTTCACTCAGTCACAACGCCGTGGTTTCCCCCTTCTAGTGAAACCCATTCTGTTTGTGTATTTGCTAAATGAAAGTGTGTTTGACTGAACAGGATGTGAGGAGGACATGTCTCTCACCCTGAACATCCTCCAGACTCCGTGTCCAACTGTCTCCTTGCTCTGTGTGACTCACACTTTCCACTGGATGTAAGCAGAGGGCCAGCCGGGCAGCTCACGCAGTCACACACGCTTTGAAGAATGTTGGCTCACCCCTCGGTGTTGCTTTAACCCCGAATTAAGACCGTTTTCCCCATGAGACCTTATTTACCATTTACAAGCCATTTCATTTTGGGACGAGAAGAGACGGTCGCAAAACAAGAGCGTCCTTCTGGAAGTCGATTCTTTTTTTCTTCTCTGACTTTCTCCAGTGGCCAGCAGTCCCATATCCTGTTAGGAGTGTTTGGCTTGAGTAGGTGCATTTAAAACTCAGGGCTTGTGCTCTATAAATGGCGCCTTGTGCCTGGAGGCACCGCTGCCCTGTCTACAGATCCCTGCTGTGTAAATAGAGTTTGCCAGACGGACGCCACTAACAGACAGAAGTAAACCAGAAGCCTTATTGCACAAATTATTTTAGTTCTCCTCAAACAATGAGCTCATTTTAGCTTCCACGGGCTGTGACAGTCACTCATGCACCGAGGCGTCAGGTGGCGTCATGTCAGTGGGTGATTTTAGTTTGTACTTCAAAAAAAAAGAAAAGAAAATGGGAAGTAACAGAATTAAAGAGTGGATGATTATATTTTGTGTGCTGAAATGGATTTCAAAATATCTAAATGAAAAAAAATACTAACATAACTATTATAATTAATGAGTGTTTCATTATTTGCTTCATTTGGTTTCAGATTACCGCTGATGGTTTAGGTTGTACCTTTAAACCCTCCCAAACTCAACCCCTAACATGTGTTGCTTATTTGCCTGAGCCTTGTTTGTAACCTTGTTCTGGCCCGGAGTCAGAAGAGTCAGACGGAGAGAACAGCCTTCCTCTGTCTGACTCTCCGGCTGGGCTGCGGCACAGACGGCAGACAGCTGCATCTCTCTCCCTGGCTTCCTCTATTTGCTATTTGGAAACCAGTGACTTCATTACCACAGAGTGGTGCAGCTGTACTCCTTGGCTGGCTCCTGTCTGTCTTGTCTGCCTGTCAGTCTTCCTCTTGGGTTGAATCTAATTGGATTTTGGCACCCATGCTAATCATTCCCCGTTCTGTGGTTGCTGTTCTCTCCTCCATCTCCATCTTTAATCAGTCTTCTCTTCTTCATGCATTTCACCTCCTTACTTGCAATCTGCTCCTGGCACCGCAATCTTCTGCTCATCATCACGCCCTTCAAACCTGACGGTTCCGTTGTCGATGATGGATATGTCCGTGCCCCCTCCAGGCCCCAGTCACCGAACGGGAACAAAGCAAGCAGCCAAATGACCCGATGAGACAATCGTTACATAAGCAACAAGACCACTTGTGTGCGCCTGCGAGTTGGATGGGAGGAAATGCCGGCGGTTATTGATCAGGTCTGCGTGCCTGATAAATGTGGCGAGCTGTGGTGGACGTGGAACGGAAGAAGACGCATTCCTGGAGAGGGGCTGGTGTGAAATGTTGACATGCTGTTACGTTGATCCCAGCTAGCTGCACGAGTTTCGTTCTGTGTTTGTCTGTCTACTAAATTAAAAGTTGAAGCCCTGTGGCGTGGGACTGACATGAAAATCTGATAAAAGCTACAGTTTAGTCACAAACAGCTCTACTCTTTGGTGGTCTTCCATGAAACAGGCCTCGTCTGAACTTGGGGCCCAGCTCTCCTCTCCCATGAGTTGAAAATTAACCTCTGCGCGACCTTAGCTGAACCACAAATCTGTCCTGGAACTGCCCTCCTGGTTGCCCAATTGCTCGCATTTCCCCAGCTACAAATCTCTCCAACCCAACATTCCCATATCCATAATTTTATGTCCCTGTACTTTCCAGAGAACAGTTACACACAGCTGCTTTTTCACAGACAAACCCTGGCTGTGTGTAGTAGTAGGGGGGAGAGCGTTCACAAGCAGCCATTCCTTGGCCAACGTTTGCTGCCTGTTGTAAAGGGCTAAACAGGGCCTCTCAAAGTGGGAGGGGCTGAGCCTAGGGGCCTCTGGTATGTCACCATCAGGTCAGTGCCAGTATTACAGAGCTGTAAAAACATCCTAGCTCACTGGATGGATGCCAAAATCATCCCTCCTCAGTCTGTCCTAAACAGATAAGAATCTTCTTTGGGTTGGGGTTTCATGTGGTCACAGGCCTCAGCTCCAGCTCATTTCATTACATGCATTAGTTATGCACCATTGCACAGCCTGTCACTTACGTGATATCTACACATAAAAAATGTGCCACTGGTTGGCAGCGATCATTTCGCTCCTCGGCTACATCTCGTTAGCTTTGACCGTTCTTTCAGTTGGACTCTTTTTCTCGCCTCAACACCTGAAGATGAGAGTCGTGCTATTGCAAGCCTGAAACGAGCACCCTCCCGACAGCAGCAGAGAAGGCTCTGCCAGCAGTCTCGCAGACTAAACAAACTGGCTGAGCTCCTCCCCAACTCTCCTGCAGACTTTAAAAGTGTCCTAAACTGACAGCTTGTTTGCATGTTTGCTGTCTGCTCCCCTCAGGGTGTCAGACCAGTTTGTTGTTTCTGAGTTAAACGAGGGTGATAAAAGTGAAAAGAGTGAAGTTTGTAATAAGCTACAAGTCCAAACAAGACTTTTTAGAAGAGAAAGAGGCTTGAGTTACACGCCCAACTTGCTTGTCTGGGCTGTTTTCCATGAGACCGGAATAATCTTAGTATTAATTAATCGACCTGCTGATGAGGAGATTAGTTGTCCACTGTCTGGTCTCCACGGGAGACAGTGAGACGAGCTGGTTGTGTGCTGCGCTGAGGCCAGGGTGTGTAGTAGGGGTTACTGTAATGGGCCAGTGGGAGATGGCCAGCATGTGTTTATTGTGTGCAGGCAGAAAAGCGTGTTTGCATTTGAAAGGAGCTCCGTGCCG